AATATTTTCGAAATTCGGGAGTGGTGTGGGGAGGCCCTTATTCCTTCCTCCGTTCTCAGGGCCTCGCCACACCAGTCCCAGAAAGTCCATAATGGAGTATGCATCTGCACCAAAACATCCAAAGTGGAGTGGTGTGCCGCCTATGTCCTCACTCACTCAACAAAACAAAAGACAAAAAAAAGCAAAACAAAAGCCGTTTATTATTTTGTTTTTGGAAAAAAAAAAAAAGCCGTTATAGCACGGGCAGAGCACATAACAGTCTGAGTGTCAACAAAACAAAAGACAAAAAAAAGCAAAGCAAAAGCTGTTTATTTTTTTATTTTTTTTATTTTTTTTTGGAAAGATGGGTTATATATTGCAAAACCAATGGGACGAGGCCCGGGACTTCACAATTCAACCCGGGGTTATCCTGGCAGCCTCAGCCAGTTTCGCTTACGAGCAGAGCTCAGAGAAACTTCCAGCCAACTGGAGATGCGCACTCAAAAACAGCCTAGCTGGAAATCGGGTCCAGAGTCCCATTCTAAATGCCAACTAACCAAAATTGAACTTGAAGCACAACCAAGGGTCGGAGCTGTCAGTCGTACAAAACAAGCCCCTAAAGTCTTCTTCGATCCATGAAAGAATCAAGCATTGGTAAACATAATACGCCTAGGATGAAACCCAGGCTACTCTTCAGATCTACAGCTATCATCTCAGAGACCAATCAGTATTAGTCCAAAGGCTACACCATCCTCGCATTGCTTACCCTGATCAAAAGTCTCCAAAAGGTGCCAGAACATAACTTTCTGGGCGAGATACCCTTATGTCAGCCAATTGGCTATCCTCAACTTTCCGTTCTCTGTTATTTTCGTCAAGAAATTATATCTGGCCCTTGTCTTTCGAAACCAGTCATGAACTGTTGAAATACAGACCTGTTATAGCACCTGCAGAGCATATAACAGTCTGAGTGTCGTAGGGGATGCTCCACCTGTCTGGACATCAGCCCTCATGTCGTGGGATTTCCCACTCAACCAAAAGCTGGGTTAGGTCCCAGTACTGTGACTGTGTCTTCAGGGTTGTTTGTGAGGAATTCCCGGCCTCGTGGTTTGTAATGGAATTTCTTGCCTTATCCAGCGGCCTAGCTCAGTTGGTAAGGCACCCAAGTGGCATTCAGGAGGTCTTGGGTTCAATCCCCATTGGTCTCATGTACCTCCCTGGGCAAGCTTGGCGCCCGCCACCTAGAGATATGCCGTTGGTCCCCCCGAGTGGCATCGAGCAGAGACAGTTGAGTGGCATTGACCAGAGACTGCTGAGTGCCATTGAGCAGAAACTGCTGATGTTCATAGGGGGAGGGGACCGGAGGGGAGGCACAGTGACTGGCCCATCAAAGAAGCTCTGTCCTGATGCTACAGGCTGACCCCTGGCCGGTATCGCCCACCTGCTGTAGCAGGTATCGCACCTGCTGGTGGGTGCAGCTCCTGCATGTTCCCTTCTTGGAGGCTTGAGCGCGGCTGTGGCTGCTACGGGGTTCCCCGTAATACTATAATGACAATAAAAAAGGCCTGAAAGGCCGTCCTGTCCAGATTTGACAGGTAAGTGAATTGGTTGGGCTTAAAGAATTAGCCTTTAAAAAAAAAAAAWAAAAAAAAATCTTGCCTTTTTCCCAAAAAAAAAAAAAAAAAAAAAGAGCACAGAACAGGAACATGGTCCCACTTGCAACGGGGATTCGATTAAGATCCTGAATGTGGGTGTGTGTTAGGCAGAGATCCAGAAAAGGAGTTCAATCTCGATTTTCTGCACTTGTCCACAAACGCGGCCAAATTACGGCGTTCAATCCGATCCTCTTTGCAAGTAGGACCTCGCCAGAGTTGTATCCTCCCTTTTTTCCCTCCATCCGACCCCTCATTCCTAAGGCAAAACCACAATCTAAAAGAAGAGGTATGATGATTTTTATAGCTATGGTATAGGCAAAGTAATAACCGGGAACGGGAACGCAGCCCGATGAAGCGCTGCGCTCCCCGGCGTACTCGGCCACTCGCTGTCCGGAGACTGTGACGAACCGATTTCCGCACCGCGCGATTTTCTGTGCGGTAGCGACGAGGGTTCCTAAGCTGGGAAGGATGAGCCAACTACGGGAGATTGGGATGGATGGGAAATTGCATCGGTATCCTTGCTTCTTCATCTTTTTGCGTTGGTTCCTTTCGGATGGCTGGTTCGGTCCGGGGTGAGTCCTGGGGCGTTCGATTGGTTGAGTGGCTGGGCGTGCCGTTGTGCGCGCAAATAATAGATGTTGACGTTGCTTCTTTTGTTTCGGTTTTGGACTTTTGGGTGCGGACATCGCGCGAGAATTTTGCTTCGTTCTTTTTGAATTTTTGCCGAGCCCTGATGGCTCTCGGAATTTCGGACTTCCTTTTCGGAGTTGTGCTTTCTGCTTTTTCACATTAGATAGGAATTTAGGAATTTTGCAATTAGGACTTTCTTTTGCCGCGTGGCGCTTTTTGTTTACGTGCTTCTTTTTGCGGCTGCAACAGGAACTCTGATTAGTTGGCGCCTTTAATCATGTGTGTAACTGTAATTTTCGGCGGGCGCCATTGTAACTGTATCCTTTCTTCTTCTGCTTCGTCTTTCCCGCTCTCGCTTTCTTTTGCTGAGTCTAGCCAGCCCGCGGGCTGCATGATCGGATCGATGCGTGGAGAGAGGCTACGTCCCCCACGCCGCGGTCTGACCATGCAAAACGCAGGCGCTTCCTTCCCTGATCTCTTTCTAAGTCCTTGTAATTCTGTGTTCTTCGCGCATGCATGCACGCTATAAATTCCGGCTGCGCGATCAGTTAGCTCTCTTAACCAGCTAGTGGAAGTTCGGGGTAGCGCGATCAGTGAGGGTCGGCTGTGTGTCCATTCAACTATCAACAAGATTTTTTCAACTCCGTTGTACCCGTTGAACGGGCTTAAGACCCAAGCTGAATCCCCATTGAATGATACAACGGGGGGTTTCCGTTGAACTAGGTTCAACGGACCGCGCACAACGGCCGCCGGGCACGCAGCGCCGGCGACGTGAACTAAAAAACAGGGGTTTGTCTCCGACCCCGTCCGTTGTATCCCCATTGAACCCGTTGAACGGGAGTTGAATACCCATTGAATGGATTCAACTCCGTTGAATCCTCGTCGAACGGCTTCGTCGTTTGATGGGTAAGCGAACGACGGGGGCTGCGCCCGCGGCTGCGGCCACAATCGCCGTGCGTTGGAGGTCCCCCTTGCTGTGATTTCCATGTCTGTGTGTGTGTGTGCGTGCCTGCTGCTTTGCATGGCTGTCTGTGTGCTTGTCGGTTGAGTGTGTGTGACCCGCAAGGGTACTTGTTGTTTGCAAGGCCCCGCAGGGCCAGTACTTACCTGTGGCCGTGACTGTCAAGGTTGAAGGGGGGGTAGACAGTCAAGTAGCGGGGGTAGGCCCGCAACACTTAGAGTAGGGGGGAAGCATTCGAGTAGCAGGTAGGACGGTACCACTTAAGTAGTGGTATGAGTGTCGTACTGAAGGCCGAGCAGAAGAAGACAAAAAGTTGGCATTTTTAGAGGCCTTGTAGCAGTAGGCTGTAGGTTAGAGGTAGGCCGGTACCAGTCCAAGTAGCCCGGGTCTAGGGCCTATCCGGAGGATAGCAGAGCCCGCAATGATGTTTCCCTCCGAAAGGGAGGAGGTACCGGTTGCTGGGAGGCCGCTCAGCCTAGGAAGTCACCGCCCAGGAGGCCAGTAGGCCGCTATATCTCCAGGAAGAGCAAAGAGCTCTTCCTCATTTGCGGTGTGCAAGGATTGGCGACATGCTGCTGGAGCACAGCGCTGGAGGTACAACGCTGCTTGGAGGGAGAAGGGACCGCTGGAGCTCAGCCTGGCTATGGCGAGCAGTCCAGCTTGAGGAGGAGGAAGAAGGGGCATCGTAGGAGAGTGTTGAGGCACTTACCTGGCTATGGTGGACACTGTCTTCATCACCTTGTTGGGAGCTGCATCCGGAAGGCCCCAGTTGAGGTAGCGCTGCATCAAGGAAGCTCAAGGCAGAGTCAGGCATGGCGGACCAGTCAGCAGCGGCATAGCTGCTCTTGGGTTGTCCTTTGGACATCGGCAGCACCATAGCTGCTTTGGGTTGTGTCCGGACATCTGCAGGGCCTTCCCCTCTCTTCTCTGGTCTTTATCTCTTTGCAAGTGCTTTCATTTCTTTCGCAATTGGGTGACATTGCCTTTCATTGTGAATTGCATTTGGGAAACGACCAAGATCGTAACAATTGAATGATTGTTGGGGGAGGGTTGCCCAGACACACAAACACAAACTCCCACACCGACACACACGCACGCACGCACGCACGCACGCACGCACGCACGCACACACACACACACACACACACACACACACACACACACACACACACACAAGAATAACCACATAGAAGAACATGAAACTACAATGAAAACAAAGTAGTTATGAAATGTCATACAAAAGTCATGCCGAAGTGTCGGTGAAGTCGCATATAGGAGTCCAATATGAAATACATCTCATATGGTACAATGTGTCGTCGACACTCGTGCCAAGTYGCACAGGGCCGTACACCGATGGGATGCAGCCTACACCGCTAACTAACAAAGCTGAMAATAAAACCCTAACAAACATCTACGTAAAACGACAAGTTAGAATGAAGTCTAACCTCTAACAAAAACCCAATAACTAAAAAACAATATGAAAATGCCGTACATAAACCGAAAAACGAAACAAACAAACACGGTTGACGACACTACCCACTCTACCTGCATGCTGAAGTCCATGAACTGGTCCAAAGTCCCTAAAACCTAACTATATGTACATCATCCTAAACAATATACAAAAACGTCAGAACACTAAGCACAAACAACATAAAGGCGTCGTCGAAGCACTGGAAGGGGAACGAAGCTGTCAATACCGTCGACTTCCCTTCCCCTTACCACTGCCTCTCTGCCTCGCCCCACTCGTGTTGCGTGTCGACGAAACACTCCCTTGCCCCGGCGCTGTCGCAACGGATGACCCTCAACTCCTCCGGCTCCTCGTTTTCCGCCGCCCTGGAGGGGACGGGTCGTCTATGTCATCATGTCCTCTACGAGAGCCACGTCATCTACGAGAACCATGCCGCGGTGGAGGGGAGGGCTCGTCGTCGTCGTCGTGGTAGCTGTCATCATCCCCGTTGTCGCTCTCCTCCTCCTCACGCTCCTCGTCGTCCCTGTACTCGTCACCCTCCTGTGCGGCCTCCTCACGTGCAGGCTCCGTCTCGGGATCGTCCTCCACCACGGTCACATGGGCAGCCCCTGTCCTCACCCGAACAAACCTAGCACTCACCTGAGTCACCTCTGCGACTGTCTTCTCACGACGAGAACCGCGCGGCATCTCCAACCCCTCGGCTCCAGAAGACTCCTCCAACGCGGCATCCCCCGTGGCAGGCATCATCTGAGGCATGGAACTCGTACTAACGACTCCGCACCTGTGTGATGTATGCTCACGCACAGCACGTGCTGCTGCTGCCAAAGCGGCCTGCAAGGTACACCCGGCCTGTCCAACCCCGTGAACATCTCGCGGCTGAGATACTGCCGCCATGACCTCCCTCGGCGCACCCCTCCCAGGGTCAGCCCCACCCAAACCTGGCTGCTGTCGTGCAGTGTGCACTGTGACCCGACGTACGGACTCCAGGTCGATATCCGTCCTCCCGAATAGCGACGTGTCAAGAGGGAGGCTCCCTACGGCCGTCGTGTCACGAACCCTGGGTCTGGTGGGCATGGATGGTGAACGGGGGGGCCGACCGACTGGTGTCGAGGGGTAATCGCTGTGACGTGATCTCGGAGGAGGAGGCGGTATAAGTGGTCTGCTAGGGTCGGTGTCCTCCCGTCGCGTCACGTCACGCACAGCAGCCCGTGCGAGCTTCGCGAAATCCAATGGGCGAGCTGTATCCTGAGGAGCTCGCCGCCCAGTATCCGCTGTACGAAGAACTACCTCAGATCCTAAATCTACAACTATGACCAATGGTACCTGAACAAATGCCTCCTCCCCAGAACCTGACCCCTGCACACACGGTCGAACTGGCCGCATCGTCGTCGTCATCTGCAAGCCCGTGAACGGTACCAACGAACTACTACCTCCGTGGATATCCGCAGGGGGTGCATCCTCACGCTCCTCCTGTGGCTGCTCTACTACCTCCTCGCACCCCTGCTGAAGCGAGTCTGTCTCTCTCCCGGAGCGTCCTGCAAATGCCTGTTCGATCTCCTGTGTGGAGTACCCAGCGGCTGCTAGGGCACGCGCCACATCCTCTCTCTCTGCGTGAGCAGGGGTGGGCGGATCCCCCAAAGACATGTCCATGAAATCCCCCATCCCCAGCCCTGACGCCCCTCTCTGTCCTGATGGCGACGCCCCCAGTGCCCTCCTTGTGCCCGGGGTCAAACCCGCTAGTGCGGGACCCATCTCGTCATCGACGAAACGCTGGACGATCGGGTCAAGGTGGGCGCCTCCCTCTCCTGTACCATGGGCGATGTCCCCCCCTACCACGCCCTCCTCTCCCCCAACCAACGCAGCAGCATCTGCCCTCACCACATCCTCCTCCATCTCAACCTGGGCGGCACCATCATCTACCCCAGCCACGCTCTCGTCTACCCCTGCCACAGCCTCCTCTCCTTCATCGTCCCTCATCGTCGCCTCCTGCATCCTCACCACATCGTCCTCTCTTTCAACCTCCGATGGCAGCACGCCCTCCTCTCTCCCGACGTGCGCATCATCATCTACCTCCACCACGCCCCCCACTACTCCAGCTACCTCCTCCTCCATACCCTGAATACCCTCACCTCCGCCCGCTCCGGCGGCTCCGTGCTCCTCCGCTCGTCTCTCCCTCTCCTCCACCGGTGGTGCCCCGCTATGAACACCCATCTCCCCCAAGTCGCTCGATGCACCCGGGTCCAAAACGAGCTGACGGGCTACGCTAAACAATGGTCCATGCCCGCGGCTGCGCAACGAGGATCCCAAGTCCTCCCTCCCAACCGGTGCAGGTCAGCGCTCGTCATGCCGAACGGGAGCGGGCGGAGCAGATGCTGGGAATCCTGGGATAGAATGACGCGAAAGAGGCGACAGGGACGAGGATCCGGAATGCGTAGCGGGAATACTCGTCTGCTCTCGCGTGGTCATGGGAGCAGGCGTCTGCTCCTGCGCGGTCGACGAAACAGTCGTCCACTCCCACACTGTCATGGCAGGACCCGGCTCCTCACTCGCAGTCATGGGAGCAGGCGTCTCCTCCCGCAAGGTCGTGCAAGGACGCGTATCCTCCCGCGCGGCAGTGGGTGATCTCTCCTCCGTGCCCCCGAAAGATCCCCAAAACTCTTCGCCCCCCATCATATCCATATCTCGCTCGTCTGCCGCCCTCAGTGCGGTGTGCTTCCTCTCGTCACGCACGTCGCCCCCCTCGTGCAACTCATCAATCTCATGCGGGATGGGAAGCATTGGGCCGTCCGCTGCTTCCGACTCCCTCTCGTCCGCAGAGTCATCATCCCTGGGGTATGGGCGGAAAATAGTCGCACGAGCACCGAAAACAGACTCAACAGGGGGCGGCGCGGAAGACCCAATGGGATCGCGCGCAATGAGGGCAGCTTGCTCCTGGATCTCCTCCTCCGTCATCCCATTCCTCGTCCCTGAGCGCACAGGCTCCACGTCCAATCCCGCCTGAGCGTCAAGCATGCCCTCGTCTCGCTGTCAAGGGAGGACGCATCCACAACCTGCATCAACCGCACATTTGCGGTGATCTCAACAAGATGAACGACCTTCTCGAAGGCCAACTGATTACGCTTCTTCGTATGGATGCCCTCGTGGACCGCCCAGTTCCTCTCCGTTGGAGAGGTGCAGGACCACATATGCATCAAACGAAGAGCGCACTACTATAAATCGGGCGCCTCTCACCCGTACTGAGACCACCACGACGCACACTCCAACGTCTCGCAGTCTCCGCTGCAACTACTCGCTCGAGCGCGGCCCTCTGCCCCGCCCCAAAACCCATACCTACCCTGCTGCATGTGAAAGTCCTCGAACTGCCGACATACCTCAAGGTAACGACCACCCGACTCATCGTGGCCCGTCTGAGACAACAGATACCTCTTGGCTTGTCGAACAAGCCAAGTGTGGTACCGGTCGAGCTGCGCGGAGAAGTACTGAACATTCTGGCGACGGGGGTTCAGTAAGAACGCGGCGCAGTGTGCGGGCTCCAGCATGTGCTGTATACGGGTCTGCACACGCCTCATGATACGGTCAGAAAAGGACTTGCCAAGAGGAATGCAAGCGTCCCGCACAAGGCGTGCAAGATCCCGAGTCCACTCTACAACGAGGGACATGAACTGCCCGCCACGGTCCATCCGCCTCAGCAAGTCCATGACAGGATCCATGATGTGCTTGATGGCACGCATCCTCTCCCACCAAGGGGACCACCTGATCTGTCGGCGCACCCAACGCGCCATGTCGCAAACGTCGGGGGACCACGGGATCCTAGCCCATGCCCGACCGTCCTCCGCTGTCATCATGCCCTGCAAACGATCCTGCAGAGCGAACAACCTCTCTAACATGGAGTACACGGATGCAAAGCGCGTCTCGCATGAAAGCACGAGGCCCAACACCTCGCTCCGCTTCCGAAAGAAGCTGAGAGCGGCCTGGTGGGTTTTGAAAAACACCACCACAACTCGGGCACGCGTGATCGTGTCCACGAAAGAGGTGCAGATCGTGCCAATGTCTGACAACAACTTGTTGCAGACATGGACGCAACATGGGAGCCAAGTGATCCTCCTCAGCTCAGGGGGCATAGATGGCGAGGCCAAAGCTCTCGCAGCCCCAACGTATGCAGAGGCGGAGTCAGTGCATATAGCATTGACCCGCTGTGGGCCACCGAATCTGAAATCATGAAAGATGATGACCCATCTCTGCAGGACGTGCACCGTATCGTCCGGCTCCCCCTCTTGGCTGATCGTCGTGTACATGACGACCCCTCGAGACCCAGCTACGAGGAAGTTCACGATCGGTCGCCCATCTCGTGACTTCCTCCCGTCAGAGAGGAGGGTGGCGCCACTCACCCATAATGGCTGCCTAACCTCCTCCAACTCCTCCGCCAACTGCTCGCGGTGGATCTTCACAGTTCGCATGTCTGCGATCTCGCTGTGGGATGGAAGCACAGGAAGAGGTGCTCCACCAGGTTGTCGAAGAGCAACCTGCTGGAGGTCCCAGTACGGCGTGTTCCGGAAGGCATTGAAGGCAATCCCGCTGGAACACACCCAGCGAAAGAATGCCTTCCTCCACTCACCAATCCACTCACCACCATACGTGTCCGTCATTTTCTGTTGCCGCAACCTCTTCCCTGCACTGGTGCCAGAAAGCTGTGCACCCCCCTTTTTCCTCTTCAAAGAACCCGACGTGCTTGCTCTATCAGGAACAACACTCTTTGAAGAACTCGGCGTGCATGTTGTCTCAGGCGGGACGGCCTTCTTCCCGCACCTCCGCTCCCAGTCCACCGCCCTCTGATGAGCCATCGGATCGGACTTCGGCACGCCCCCCTCTCCCCTCGGTGTCCGCTCCCCCTCGGCCACGCCAACCTCAAGGTCAACGTGTGCCTCGTCCTCCTCCGCAGCATCCGCACCCTCCCCATATCTCGCAACACCTCCCTCCGCATAACGCTCGGTATCCTCTCCCTCGCCCACGCCCTGTGCAGGACGCTCCGCTTCGCCACCCATCGCACCCGACCGCGAGACATCGAGACCACGCTCGTGTGCGAACCGCCGCACCCTCTCTACCTGATCGGCCTCGAAGCGGTGTGTGCATTTCTGCGCAATCTGGTACAATGCATCATCGGACACCTTCTTGCAATAATTATGTTAGGTGAAGTGTTTCGTTGCGTAAAATTGGGTTCCCTGGAACACCTTATTGCAGAAGGTGCACCTTAGCATATTAACCCCCGTGTTGTCGACCTTCTGGCTGACAACAATGTAACGGTACACAACAGATTTACGCATATAACCTGCTACACTTGTTCGGGCGCGGGCTCATGTTCGCGCGTCTGTTTTTCCGGCATTGTGAACCCCCCTCAAAGCCGCGCCCGTCCAATCGTAAGCGCCTCCCCTCCGACACCTCGTGCCCAGCGGCGCCACAGAGAAGGACGTATTCCCGGCCGGCCCCGTCCCAACCAGGTAACACCCGCCTTGTTTCTCCCCGTTGAAACCCCGTTGAAAATTTCGGACCCCATTGAAACCCCATTGAAACCCCGTTGAAACCCCGTTGAAACCCCGTTGAAACCCCGTTGAAACCCCGTTTGCTCCCGTTGAACCCCCGTCCTTAGGCACTGGTCAACGGGATCCGCCGGCGACGCTGATCGGTCAGGGAAGTCGCCTGCACCAACACAAAATAAAACAAACAATCAATCAAACAATCAATCAATCAATCAAGAAAATGGCCCAAACCATCAATCAATCAAACAATCAAACCAACAATCAATCCATCAATCCATCAATCAATCAATCAACATCTTGCTTGCTTGCTTGCTTGCTTGATTGATTAATTGATTTTGTTGTTTTTATGTTTTTTTTTTCCTTTTTATTTTTCATGTGCGTGTGTGTGTGCTTGTGTGTGTGTGTGTGTGTGTGTGTGTGTGTGTAGAGAGAGAGAGAGAGAGAGAGAGAGAGAGAGAGAGAGAGAGAGAGAGA